AATAGGTCATAATATGCAAAGGGAACATAGCCCAAGCGAAAACAATCGAAAAATATCAAAAATCCCAAAATTAGCAAAACCCGAGCCCCGGGCCCACGTCTCGTAATCGAGTAAAATTTACATTTTCAGAATCTTCATATCCTCACGAGCCTAACTATACCAAAATTATCCAATTCCGATACCTTTTGGTCCTTCAACTCATCATTTTATATTTTTGAAAGGTTTCACAATTTTCTTCCCAAACTTCATCCCAAATCACGAATTAAATGATGAATTTAGTGATAGATTCATGTATTCTAGTCAAATCTGAGTTAAAATCACTTACCCCGATGAAATTTCTTGAAAAACCTTCAAAAAATCGCCTAAGTCAAAATATTAAATAAAAACTCAAAACCTCGTATTTATAGGTAACCCCTCAGATTTCAGCTACCGCGGTCCGTACAAGCCGGTGCGGTCCGCGGAAAAACGACAGCGGCCGCACAGGCCTCCCTCTGCAGTGACAGGATTTAGATCTTTGGCCATAACATTTACTACAGATGTCCAAATTATAATATCTTTACCTTTTTGGAAACTAGACACGAATGGCTACAACTTTTGTTTTTGAATCACCTCAAAATTCCTTATAGATCAAAAGATATGAGCGTCCGAAGTTGGACCAGCGGGAAGGTTCTTCACCGCGTCCGCGCCCGCTTTTGTGCGATCCGCGCAACGCCTACCGCGGCCGTGCCCACTTTTGTTTGGGCCGCACAGCACTCACTGCGGGCGCACTCATCTTTGTGCGGACCGCGTGGGTGAGTTCCGGGGCTTGCAACCCTCCTGGACCTGCTACAACTATAATTTTCGGCCTAAAACATCCCGGAACCTACCCGGAACCCCCGAAACTTCAAACTAATTATACCACCACATCCCATGACATCGTTCAAACTTGTTCAACATTTCGGAACACTTCCAACAACATCAAATCACCAATTTAACATAGGATTCAAGCCTAAGAACTCCAAGAACTCTTAAATTATGCTTTCGATCAAAAGGTCTATCAAATCTCGTCCGAATGACGTGAAATTTTACACACACATTCCAAATGACACAACGAAGCTACTGCAACTCTCGGAATTCCATTCCGACCCCTATATCAAAATCTCGCCTATCAACCAGAATTTGTCAAAATATCAATTTCGCCAATTCAAGCCTAAATCTTCTCTACAACTCCAAAACCCATTCTGATCGCGCTCCTAAGTCACAAATCACCTCCCAAAGCTAACCGAGCCATCGGAACTCATATCTGATCCCTCTAACACATAAGTCAACATCCGGTTGACTTTTCCAACTTAAGCCTTCTTAAAAAAGACTAAGTGTCTCATTCCTTACCAAAATCCTCTCCGAACTCAAACTAATCAACCCGATCACATAAAACACGGATAACGAAGCGTAAAGAAGCTGAAATAGGAAAAACAGAGCGGTAACTCATGAGACGACTGGCCGGGTCGTCACAACGACCTAGGTTGGATTTTGGATCGTGACAACTGTGGATTAACGACATGATAAATCTATATTGTATTAAAAGGAGGATAATTTACAATATGATTAAACCAAGTGACAAGCTACTATGAAGCCACTTGGTAATTTAATACTTTTTTGCAAATTGTAATAATATTTAATTTAAACTGAAAGATAAGATTTTTTTTTTGAATTAATGAATGGAACGGTAGTAAATAAGATTCTTTTGAATTTGAATATAAAAAAGTAATTGACAATCTTTTGAATTTAAAAGGAAAGAAAATAAATAAGATTCTTTTTCATTTGAATAAAAAGGAAAGTATATATTTATCGACAAATATTACTACTACTACTACTACTACTACTACTACTCCTACTCCTACTACTACTACTACAACTACTACTACTACTAATAATAATAATAATAATAATAATAATAATAATAATAATAATAATAATAATAATAATAATAATAATAATAATAATAACAATAATAATATATGTATCTACATTATATTAAAAGAAAGAATAGTTCACTACATGGTTAAGTCAAGTCACAAGCTACTATAGATACACTTGGCAATTTAGGATAATATTTGTAATAACATTTAACTTAAATTGAAAGATAATTTTTTTTTTAGTTTGAATAGAAAGATAATAAATTAAATTCTTTTGAATTTGAATAGAAATAAAGTAAATATTTTTCGGAAGATACAATAGACTGTCCTATCTTAACTAATTATAACAATAAAGATGAATATATTATAGATAAATGATAAATAAGAAATATATATTATAGGATAAAAAAAGTATAATTAGGAGAATAGAGATAATGTAATGATATTTATACTTTAAAATTATTTATAAAAAAATTAAGTAAACAGATAATACTCAATATTTTTAATAAATGTAAATAATAAAAGAATTTCGAGAAATAATCATACAAGATAAAATTAAGTTAAATTTTATGGCTAATAAAAAAAGATTATTGTATTAATATAAAGAGGAAAGTTAATAAATATTCGTATGTCAATTTAATAATACTAAGTAATGAATAATATAATTACGATAAGTAAACAAACAAAAAGAGGAATAAAATATAAATTTTAGGAAAAATATAGAAGTATAAGACTTATAATTAGAATAAGATGAGAAAAGTCCTTAATAGAAATTATAATAGACAAAAAATCAGAGGCAAAAATATTAAAAATAGAAAGAGTATATATATATATATATATAACTTCGCCAGTAAAGTCGCATAGCTGGTTGCCTCTTCTAATGGTGACCTATGACAGATTTTTATTGACGACATTATTTACTTTTACTGACGACTTTGGTCGCTACGAAAAGTAAATAAGATCGCCACTAAATTGCCCCTTCTAGACAGTTTTCCTGCTGAACAAGAGATAAAGTTGAAACTAGAAAAATGGAATTTGATAGAAGAGAGCATTCTTAAACAAAAATCAAGGGTGCAATGGCCGTGAACAACTAATTTTTGACCGCACCCAAATTCTATACCATTTTAGTGTAAATATTTCTTTTAGGTCCAAATCTTGATATTTTAAACGTTTATCTTACTTTAATAGGTTTTGTTCAAAAAAAATTAAACATTATAAAAAAAATGTTCACATACTTAAAGTACAAATTTTATTTCTATTTGTAAAGAGAAAAAGAAAATTTACAAAAAAATAATAAAATATCTGATTTCTTCTAACTAGAATTTTAAATGTAAGAAAGGTATCTTTTTTTAGTATAGTTTATACTATAGTGTAAATATTTAGTTATCCTATGTATATAATATTTAAGTCTAAAAGTAGTTGGCTAATATTTTTAGCTATGTATTTTACTTTCTTTTTTCTTCATTTTAAAAAAAGAATTAATTAATAAGTAAGAGTTATTTAAGAAAGAAGGCAACTAACGAAAAAGAACAAAAAAAAAAAGATAACAAAATAAACAAATCTTAACTCCCTCACGTTCCTTTCCCCACTTCCCCCACTCCATCACGTCTGTGAGCATGTGATTTTTTCCCTATACGAGATACTCCTATAAAATCCTAAGAAAATAGAATTTTTATTAATTATTCGCCATTTTAGGAATTTTTGTAGAATTTTGTTCAATTGTTTGCATTTTTATACATGTTTAATTTTATTAAATCATGAAAAAATACCAAAAATATCATGCATTGTATTTAGGATTTGTTTTACATTTTTAGGATTAATCAGTAATTATTTATTTTATAGAAATTTGAAAATCACAAAAAATAGCTCATTTTTACATTTTGTCTTTTAATTTTTAGCTTATTAATTTTTTCTCTTTTAATTTAGAATTAAGTGTTATTTATAATATTTATAATTAGTTTAATTTCACATTTTTAGATAATTTAATATTTTTAATTAAAAAAAAAGAAAAAGAAAAGAAAAGGAATAAAAGAGGGTATTTCAAAAGAATAGATTTCTCGGAATTTGGCTAATAACGAAATCAGCCCAAATTTGCCCCAAACCCGTCCTAATTGCCCACAACCCAAGCCCAAAAATCAAGCCTTACTCGGTCCAGACCCACCTGAAGCCAAATGACCCCGTTTCATATGGATTAATCACAACCGTTGGNCGAAATTAACACCTTATAGTCCTTGCCCCTACTTAAACCTCAAACCACCCTTAGCCTCCCTCGAATCAGCCCCAATCTAGTCGAAGTTTAAATCTCAGATCCCGAAAGAACCCTAATTTTTCTTTCTTCTTCACTTGATCAGTGCTTGGTCAAATGAACTAAAATATCCATTAGTCGACTGTTCTTGTTAAGAACAGTCGATTAATGTTGATTAACGTTCATTTATGCTTTTTGAAGTTTGGCCGAGTTCATAACAAAATCTAATTTTAGGTAATTTTTTTTTCTTTCTGTTTACTTTTACCTTATTTAACTATTTTATTTTCATGTTAATTGTTTCCATTTAGCTGCATATTTTAGGATTTTTATTTTAAATTTTTCTTTTCTTTATTTTACAACTGTTTAGTTTAATTATTTATTCTTGTTTAGTAAATTGGTCGAAGCATGTTTAAGTTTTATTAGGCAATTGCATAAGTTTAGATTAATTAGGTTGATTATTAGCTTTCATTGCATTACCATGTTTGTTCTTTGTTTGTTACTATTTCTGCCACCAATATTCGTTTAAATTCAGTTTTCATTTAGGGTTAATTAGATAAGCATTTTCATTTACTAATTAGTTTAGTTTTAGTTTTAAATTGTATCATCACGATTCTTTTTGTCATTTCAATTTGGATTTTGGATCCCTTCTTGTTTTTGCGTCTGTTTGCTTTGATTTGAAAGCCAATAGAAACTTTAGGGACTTAATTGAACAAAATTTTTTAGGTAAAAACTACAATAAGCAGACTTTAGAAGGGCAATTTAGGGTTTTCTAATTAGGAAAATATCTGAATGTTCTAGAAAGTGTACCAGCTGTCAAATTAGTTTTAAAAGATGCTGAAAATTGATAGCTGGACATTTTATCCTCTGCAGAAATGTTGTACTAGCTAGGGAATTTAGGGTAGAATATTTCCTAGATGCTATTTTTTGGGCGCTCTATATAAAGAAAGCTTTCCCTCACTCTCATACACATCTTTCAGCCTTAATTTCTACAAAAAAATAAACTCTAAAAACACAATCAGATTTTTAGAACCAAAAAGAGCATTTCAAAAGCTTTCAGCTATTGTTTCATTAGTGGCTAGTTTTATTCAGATTCTTTGAGCAAAATTCGAGAAAAGTTTCTTCTATGGAATTTCTGGTTTTTCATATTCAAGTCTTAGGTTAAGCTTTAAGTTGTATACAGCTTTGAGTTGTTGTTGTTCTCCACCGTTTGCTTGCTAAAGTTACTCACTCATTTCTGTTTCTTTGGTTGTATCCAGGTACATCTTCAAATCTTTGGAATAGAAGTGAATGTAATGGTGTTTGTAGCCTTAGAGCTGATGTATAAATGTTAAATGGAGTTTGGCACTCAAATGTTTAAATTTTAGTTTTCACTTAAAGTCTGATTTTCTTCCCAGCAGTTTAATATTTGAGGATCTTATTAGTTTTGCTATTTTCATTTAAATATTTCTGATTTGCATGTTGATTAGCAGTTTCTTTTCTCTAGTTGGGATTTTCACATATGAGTGTTTAAGTTGGTTCATTTCTTCTATAATGACAACTCTAATTAGATATTTCATTAGAAGGTATTAGTTGGTGTTTTACTCATGCTTGAAAGATGCATTATTACTTCAGCTGAATAGTTTTAGATTTCAAAATCGTTAAATAGGTCATGTATGTATAGCTGCTGAATAAGTTAAAGCATGTTTTAAGTTTATGAGTCGTTGTTTAGGGCATGACAAATGAACTAGAAGCCTATAATCTGATTGTTAAATGCATGTTTGGTTTTCCAAATTCTCATTAGTTTATCTTATTGTTATTTGCGAATTAAGGGGTGTGGGTTTTCAGTCATGGCTCGTTAGAGTTCCCTTTAACAAGCTGGGCTTAATTCTGGCCCCACAAGCTGGCCTGCCTATTATGAGCCCAGATTGACTAGATCCGGCCTTCTGCCATTTTGGGCTCAATTTCAAGCCCAACAGGATCCAACCTTGACTTATCTCTTTTCCATATCCCCCCCCCCCAATTAAATACAAATGTATGCTTTATGGGATGGCTTTGGTGTAAAAAATGTATGGGGTAGCCATTTTTTAAAGTGGTGTTTACTTTTATCCAGTATTTTTAATGCTTAGCAATAGTAGCCACTAGTCTATTAAAATTAATAAAGATTGTGTTACCCTTTTTTCTATTTCTTTTCCTTCCCAAACCCTCTATCAAGTCTGGGTATACCAGTAATGGAGATAATGTCAAGTTCCCTTATTGAAGAATCTCGGACAAGCATGACAGTTTCAGACGACACTGGATCCACTTCAGCTACGACAAATACTACTTCAAATGATTCATTGGCAATTAGTACTTCCAATAGTTCAAAGGAAACACTGAATGCAAAATCAATTGGGAATTTATGGAAGAGCTTTTGTTCTATTATTTTAATTTGAACGATAAGAAATCGTACAAATATAAAGTATCTATCAATTATGATTCCCAATTTTGCTGTTAATAATGATTTCGATAGTTGTAATCTTGATGTTTTTGGCAAGGCAAATACAGTCAGTGCAATTTGAGGTGTTATCGGGTTACACAAAATGCATAGCAGAAGACATAAAGAGGCATGGTTATGGTAGGTACTTGGTCCTGAATTTAGATTAAGAAGCTCAAAAGTTAAGGACAATAGGTCCTGAACTTAGACTAACAAGTTCAAAAGTTAAGGACAATAGGTCCTGAACTTAGGCTAAGAAGCCCAAAAGTTAAGGACAATAGGTCCTGAACATATAATTACAACTTCAAAAGTTAAGGACAATAGGTCCTGAAGTCCTGAACTTAGATTAACAAGCTCAAAAGTTAAGGACAATAGATCCTGAACTTAGGCTAAGAAGCCCAAAAGTTAAAGACAATAGGTCCTGAACTTAGACTAACAAGATCAAAAGTTAAGGACTATAGGTCCTGAACTTACAGTTACAAGTTCAAAAGTTAAGGACAGTAGGTCCTGAAGTTTGAGTTCCAAGTTCAAAAGTTAAGGATAATAGGTCCTTAGCTTTGAATTCCAAGTTCAAACGTTAAGGACACTTCGCCCTTAACTTTGAGTTACAAGTTCAAAAGTTAAGGACACTTGGTCCTGAACTTTGACTTACAAGTTCCAA